TGCTTCCAGGCTAGTAATGTCCTAAGGCACCTGACAAAATCAAATACAGTCTTCTCTAGAAGAAGGTACATTTATCTTAGACCTCAAAGAGCCCCCACATATATATTTCAAGGGCAATGAGTAATAGACAGCCAAAAATAACCAAGCACATGGGGAAATAAAGCATCATGATTGAAAATCATAGAAAAAGAATAGATAAATGAGCCAAGACTTGACCAGGTGATTCATAAAGGAATCAAATTGGACAATAAACATATGGAAAGATGCCCAACTTCATGAGTAACCAGAGAAAAGCAAATGAAACCATAAAAATATGACACACCCACTAGTAGCTAAAATTATACTCAAGTCTGACAGTAGCAAGTGTTGATGAAGCTGTTGCACAACAGAAACATTCATACATTGCTGATAGGAATGTAAAGTGTACAACCACTTTGGGACACAGTGCGGCATTACCTGAAAGAGTGAAGTTACAAATACTACATAACCCAGAAACTTCACTCTTATGTAGAATCTGAGGACAGCAATGGTCAAACTTTTTGGCCCTTAGGACTCTATACACTCAAAAATTGAGACTCTCAGAAAGCTTTTGTCTATGTGGGTTATATCCAATTCATTTTTGTGATATGAGAAGTTAAAACCGAGAAAAATGTAAAACACAAGAAGACACAAGCACACATTCCATTAGCCAGGGTAATGATGTTATATGTCACGTCAACTCTGGAAAACACTGTACGCTCATGAGAAAGTAATGTAAAAGGCATTTAACATCTTAGTGTTATTATGAAAATAGTTGGACCTTGTGGACTCCTGCAAAGGCCTTGGGGGCCCTCCAAGGGTACCAAGACCAATGTTTAAGAACCAGTACCCTAGATAAACAACAGGGTCCTACTGCATAGCACAGGGAACTATAGTCAATATCTCACAATAAACTATAATGGAAAAGGACATGAAATATATATATATATATGTGCAACTGAATCACTATGATGTACACCAGAAACACAACATTGTAAATCAAGTATACTTCAAATAAAAAAAGAACCAGTACCCTAGAGAAATTTGTACGTATCTGCATCAGAATGCTCACAGCAGCACTCCTTGAAACAATCAAAAATTGGAAACCACCCAAACGTCCATCAATAAGAGGATGAATTAAAAAAAACCTTGTGGGATATTCAAATCCTCGTGGTATATACTCAAACACTGGAAAAAATACTTGGCAATGAAAATGCATCAGCCACAAGCACACATATTAGCAATGTGGGGGGGGAAAGAGGCAAAACACAAAAACCTACGTACAGTGTGATTGCATTTCTACCAGGCTACAAGACAGGCCAAACGCAACTATATTATCCAGGGCCACAAGCAGAGCTGGTAGACGTATAAAGCAAACAAAACAACTGCACAAAAAGCAAACTAGTGTCGCCTCTGTGGGGAGGGCAGGGCTGTGATCACAGAGGGACTCACAGAGGTCCACCTGGGTGCTGTCAACATTCTATTTGTCAGCTTGATTGGCAATGACAGATTTTCAGTTTACACTTATTTGTTAAAGGCCTTGCATACTTTTCAATACCTATGCCATATTTCACAATAAAGGGCAAATCTCCATACCAATAATGTGAAATATATATTTCTACAGAGAACAATACATTGAAATACCGCATTCTGATATGCTAATGGTGGTTAACCCTGGGTAGTGGGGTTTGCATTTTCTCAACACTTTTCTACATTTTGCAAGTTTACTACAAAGAGCATGTATTACTCTTGTAGCCATGTAAACACCTGGTATTGTCAGACTTCATTATAATTTGTAGCCTACTGGAGGGTATGTAATTTTATCTTATTAGAGTTTAATTTGCATCTCTCCAATTACTAAATGAGGTTGAGCATCTTTTCATATGTTTGTTGTCCAATTTGATTTCTTCTCTTATGAATTGCTTAGTCAAGTCTTTGGCTCATTTTTCTGTTTGTTCCTTTTCACTGTTTCTCAGAAAGTCATAAAACATATAAGAAAAAAAAGACAAGGTCGGCAGCTAAAATTGAAACTAATGAGGATCAACCCAAAATAGATGGGCTGAGCCATCTGTGGGAGTCTGTGCAGAAGGTAACTTCCTAAAGAGACGGACGATGCACCTGATCTGACTAGGATGAGCTCAGAGCTCGCCAAGCAGCCTGGGGTGTTTTCCGAGAGTCAGCTGGCTGCTACCCATCCAGAAAGATTGACTGTGATCTGATTTACTCTAACGTGTCCATCCTGAGGCAATGCGATGATGACAGAAAACTTCAGTGACTCATGAGGAATACTGAAAATGGAGAGTGGAAATACAAAGGATATGTCTGTCTCTACAGCAGTGGGTCTCAACCCAGGGCTGTTCTGCCCCCAGGTGACACTGGGCTAAGTCTGGACTCACGTAGAGTTGGCAGACTTGGGAGGGGGTTGCTGCCGGCATCTAGTGGATAGAAGCCAAGGATGCTGCTAAATATCCTTCAATGCACAGGACAGCCCCTCCTGAGGAATTAATCCACCCCAAGCATCACTAGTGCCATGGCTGAGAAACTGCTCAATAGCCTCTCTCCAGGGGAAAAAAAAAGGGCTCAACCCTCCAGAAACCCTCTCCAAGTAGAAATGGTCAAAGGTGGAGAAAGGCAAGTCCCCGGGCTGTCTCACCTCGATGGGGGTCATCCAAGGCTCTTGAGACCCATGCTCTACAAGCCCCTCCAAGGGAGCTGCATGTTAGTCACTGTGCTCCCCAGCGAAGGCCGCCCCTTGTCCCGGAGAAAGCTTTTGCAAATAAGGGCAGGTCAAGCTCACAGAGTATCAGTGCTAAAGGACCGTCAGAGCCAGTCAGCCTATCCCCCTCATTAGTGAAAGAACCTGACAGCTGAAGACAGCATGTGGCATCAAGGGAAGATGGGGAATAGAGCTGAGCTAGTAACCAGTACAACAAATAGGCACCATGGTGATTGTTTCATAAAGAACCAGAGAAGTATGCATCCTGGTAGAGCTATAGCAGTTAACACTTCTGCGGGAGATGCAGCATTACATCTGGACCTTGAAATTTCAGCAGATTTGCATGGCAGTTTAAAACTGTGGCTAAAAAATTCTTTGATGCTCTTCCATTGAGAGGTAGGATATATGTTCTCAGCTTGAATCTGGACTATCCTTAGATGACAGCCTACAGAATGCTGTGAATGTGCTGCTGCGTGACTTCCGAGGAGCACAGCCCACAGAACGGAACACAGATGCTCAGAGGAATTGTATGTGCATGTTCAGAGCAACACTGCGTTCAATAGCCAAAGGGTAGAAACAGCTCATGTCCATCAGTTGATAAATAGGCAAGCAAAGTGTGCTGTATGTCCATAAAATGGATTATTCAGCTTTAAAAAGGAATGAAGTATTGATTCATGCTACAACCTGGATGGACCTTGAAAACATTATGCTGAGTGAAAGAATCCAGACACAAAAGACCATCTCTTGTGTGATTTCACTTATATGAAATGTCTAGAACTGGCAAATCCAGAGACACGAAGCAGATTAGTGGTTGCCAGGGACTGGGGGAGGAGAGAACAGGGCGTGACCATTTACAGGGCATGGCGTTTCCTTGGGGGGTAATGAGAATGTGTGAAATTCCCATGTTGTCCCCTGGAACACCCATGCTTAGAGACCTAAGTGGAAGTTCAATGACCATGCTATAAGAAAACCCAAACCACGGGCAGAGGCCAGGTAGCAACAGGCCAGCTGAGCCAATCTCTCGTGAAATGTCAGGGAAAAGCCTTCAGAGGATTCTAGCCCCTAGTCATTTGCGTCTTCTAGCTGAGATGCTAGACCCCTTGAAGCAGAGATAGCCATCCCTGCTGTGTTCTTCTAAATTCTTCTCCAGAATCTACAAGCCAAATTCAGTAGTTACCAGCTGCTAAGTCTGCAGTGGTTAATTACAGAGGATGACAGGAACAGCCTTCAACATGGGGATGATCGGGGCAAGGGTCTTCTAGGCAGACAGCACTGCAGCAACAGTATAACCCAGGTGCCTCCCTGATGACACATGTGACAGTTATTACATGTAGCTGCCTCCAGGTCTGTCTGGACTATAAACTTCTTAAGGGCCGGTCCATGCTTTATTCTGCTCTGTTTTTGCCCTCAGTGCCCCACGCTGATCCTGGTTCTGTAGCCACTCACTCGGGCATCAGCAGATCCACTACCAAGGGCGACATCAACAGCTTCCATGCCCTCTGACTCCTGATTGGGTTCAGCCCACAGGTTCCCTCCGTGTCTCAGTGGCTTTTTCACCACACCTCTGAGACAGGCTGCCACCTGGGACTGAGCAACAGAATACAAAGAAACTACAAGGAATTAAAAATAACTGTGTACATGCGCAGTTGGGGCAAGTTGTGAACAGTAAGATAAAAAAAGATCAAAAATCCAACTGCCACTTCTGAGGTGCTGGGAGCAGAAGCAGGGTCCTGCGCATGATCCCTGCAAACAGCAACACCAAGGGGTGAGCAGGCCACCTAAGACACCCCTCAGCCCGATCCCTGGACCCGCCCCCAACCAATTAAGGGACCAGCTCATCCCCACCCCACCACCGCCACTGCCGCTGCCAGGGAGTGAGTAAGGGCATCTGCTACTTGTTTTCGCACTCCCACGCTGCACCATGAGTCCCAAGAAAGCCTCGCCTGCATTTCTCCTCTGGCCTCTTATCAATTGCTATTGATTAAGGAGTCCAAGAACCCTGGCTAGTAACACCTTTCCACCAAAAGAAATACCTAACCACTCCATTTATAAGTAGATGGTTCCAACCAATTAATAGACGTGGCTACATTTCCCCTCAAATTAAAAATATCCATGGTACCTCCATGAGTTCGCTGCCACTGAGTTCCTGCAGTGCCCCAGGGCACCCAGGTGCACAGTTTAGGACCCACAGGTGCAGCCATTGGGAGGCAGGAGCAAAAGACTGGAAGGTGGGAACACTCGTAGTGTTTATTCTCCTGGCTCCCACCCTCCAGGCTGCGGCAGTGCCCTGCACAGGTGGCCCGGTCCCCCCCTACAGCCCGAGCAACACTGGATTCCAGGACTCCTTCCTCCCCTTGCCACTTGAAGCCCAGGGCGGCAAGCACTCCCCTCATGGCGCTTCACCACCCAAGGGGCTTCCCGACCCTTGCTGGTCTCCCCTAACCCTGCCCCTACCTTGTAAACAACCCTCTGAGTGAATGCGCAGTGACCCAGTTCCAGCATTCCATCCATTTCCTGCCAGAGTCCCTGACTGCGCCATGGGGAAGCAGGCAAAGAACAAAGTCCCTGCCGTCATGGAGCCCACAGTCTAGTGGGACAGTAAACAAAGAAGCAGGTAGACAGATAGCATCAAGGGAGAAATGGCTTTTAAGAAAACTCAAGCAGGCTGAGAGTAGATGGGTATCTGAGGCATAGTTTCAGGGAGGGTGGTCAGGGGTGGCCTCTCCAAGGTGGGGGCACTTGGGAAGTGAAGGAGAGGACGCACATCTGTCCAGGGGAGGAGCTTCTAGCCAGAGGGGACGGCAAACATGAAGGCCCCAAGGTGATGGAGTGCTTAGCATACTGCAGGACCAGCAAGTCAGCCAGGGGAATGGGTGAGAGTACACACAGGCCCGGGTCTGTTGGGACTTGTAGGCCACGGTCAGGGTTTAGATGTTATTTTCATCACAACAGGAAGCCACTGGAGAGTTCTGAGCAAGGATGCAATGCCAGTGACTGAGGTCTCTAGAGACAGTCTGGCTGCTGCGTGGAGGTTGAACTGTAGAGGGCAGGAGCAGACTCAGACAATTGTTGCGAGGTCACTGCCAGGGCTCCAATGAGAGGGGACGGTGGCCCAGCCAAGGGAGGTGGCCCAAGAGGTGAAAAGAGGTGGGAGTCTGGATGATTCTGAGAGTGGTCACTGCTACAGACTGCTGACAGATCAGGTGTGGGACGTTCCAAAGCCACTAGCAGGATGGGGTTGCCAATTACTCAGGTGGGAGGAGCAGGTTTGAACAGGGCCTTTAAAGATGCGTATAAGCAGGGTTAACAGTCACAATAATATGGCTGCACAGGGCACGAACCCTTTGGTTCCTGGATCATGGGGAGGTCCAGGAATCCTGAAGGAAGGGCAGAGTCAGTTGGTGGGTGGGGAGAACAGCTGAACCAGGAAGGATTTCAATAACTTAATGCCAGCAAGGCCATCGGATGACCACGTGGGGATGTTGAATGCAGGAGCCTGGAGGTCAAGAGAGATCAGGCCTGGAGATAGAAACTGAAGTCAAAAACATGCAGATGGGATTTCATTTAAGCCATGAGGCTCGTGAAAGAACCTGGGAAGTGAGTGCAGGTAGAGCAGGTGACCAAGGACAAAGCCCAGGGCATCCCCACAAGCTGTGAGATCAGAGGTGAGGGGAAAAGGCAAGGAATGACTAGCCTGGCTTCTCAGAAGCCAAGGGGAGAAAACGCTTCCAGGGGAGGGTGCGATCAGCAGCGCCAGATGACCCTCAGATTTAGCCACATGGAAGTCATCACTGACCTTGGCCAGAAACAGCTTTGGGGGAGGGGTGGGAAGTAAAGTGCTGGGAAGAAGTTCATGTGAGTGCCGAACTACAACTCCACATGGTATGTTGCATTTTCACGAATGAAAGATTAAAATACCATTCTTGTTTGTTTCTTGTTAGGCACTACTTTGATTTTTTTGCCCCCCCCCTTTTTTAAAGCTAGATGACAGAGCCAAACAAATGAATAGTGAGAAAGTAAAAAGGATCGCTCCTGCAAGACAGACCAGAATTCTGCAGGAAGCCAAAGGGATACGAAAAGCAACTCAATTCCAGGTCTTCCTCCCAGCTCACTGGGACTCTTGAGCCCAGCTCACTACTTTGGTGGGCACTTTGCTTATGGTCAATAAAGGCTTTTGTAAACGAAAGCCCCTGAATTCTCATTAGAACCAATGCAAGCGAGGGAGGAAGGCAGGTGGCCCCTTTCCCATTCTCCTCCCCTCCCCGGAGCCTAACTTTGCTAATATCTTGACAACACAGCCTGTTTGCATTAGCAATTAATTGGCTGCTCCAACAATTCTGTGAGGCCAACAAAGCAGAGGTCAGCAGCCTCTTGGTGTAGATAAGGGAACTGTCGCCAGCAAATGGTGGGGCCACACTGGAATGCCGGCCCCATGTTAATTCCGTCATCCCGGGCTAGCTGAAGCAGCAATAAAAATAAAAAGAATGTCGAGATGAGCGGCTTGGTGCCTTGGCGCTATTTTGGCCATAACGCCTGTAATGAATTCCGCTCTGAACAATGTTTCCTGCTCAGGGTATTGCCTCTAATTTGGAAAACAATCCAGACAGAACCACCTTGCAAGGCCAGCCAGATGTTGTCTCTAGCCTCTCCTTCAAACAGATGTTTTCAAGCTTTAAAGCTGCAGAGCCCTCTGACATCTTATGAGCAGCCTCAGGTAGAAAACTAGTAGAAACAGAGCTCAGGATTAGCTGAAGCTGGAGTGGCGGCCTAGGCCCACCCATTTCTGCTCTGGTCCTCCCCCGAAATCCACCTGGGGACAAAGGTGAGCCTGACCGCACACTCCCCCACATCCTCAGCAAAGGGGAAGGCTCGGCCAGGACAAAGAGAAGAGTCTGTCTGCTGGCCCCAGACTGCACCCTGCTTCAAACGCAGCCGTCAGGATTGGGGCGGGGGGAGTTGGGGGCATGGAAAAGGCCTCTTGGGACACAGTTGGTAGCCCCCACTGCAGGTGGCCCACGGCATGGGGCACACTCTCCAACCTCCTCATGAAGTAGTTTAAAAATCAAACCCCAGCAAAAGACATCAAGCTGCCTTCCAGAGCCCTCAGAGGTGCTTCAAAACACTCACTGCTGCGCCAAGAACATCACTGCGGTCCGATTTTTGGCGCATTTACTTTAAAATCCTAAACTCAGAGCAGGCTGAGGATTGATTTAAGTTGGCAAAGTTGAAGCAATGAGACATTGCAAGCTAGTTTTTTTTTTTCAAAGAATGAAGAGGACGCTAATACCCATTCCTTAGCTTCTCTTAGTAAATGATAACAAATTTAGTGCCTTAAACCAACACACACTTTTATCTTACAGGTTAGGAGGTCAGAAGTCCAACAGTCTCCCTGGGTAAAATCAAAGTATCAGCAGGGTTGCATTCCTTCTGGAAGCTCTATGGGAGAGCCGGTTCCCTTGCCTTTTTTCCAGCTGCTCGAGGCTGTGTGTGCAGTCCTTAGCTCCGGGCCCCTTCCATCTTCAGAGCCAGCAGCGGTCAGTTGAATCTTCCTCACATGGCATCACTCTGATTCTAACTCCTCAACCGCCCTCTTCTGTATTTAAAGGACCCTTGTCCTTTAATCGGCCAGGATAACCCAGGAGAATCTTATTTTGGCCAACTGATTAGCAACCTAATTCTATTTGCTGCCTTAATTCCCCTTACTGTGTGACCTCACAGTCACAGGTTCCAGGGATTAGGGTGTGGACACCTTTGGGGGGCATTCTTATTATTACTCTGCCTACTACAGCTTCCCACCCACCTCCATTTGGAACACCAACCCGCATGAGAGATTTTCTCACCCATTTCTATTATGTGTTTAGGTTGACTTTAAGCTTTTATATACAAACCAAGACAGGCTGGTCAGTGGACCTGTAAGCAAGCCTCAGGGAGGACCAAGTCTGGGTTGGGGACCAGGAACCCCTGCAGCCAGGCCTCCCCATGCACGTGCTAAGTGCAAAGGGTAGGAGCGGACACATGGCAGGAAAAGCACCAACAGCACGTGGGGAAGAACCCCAAATGGAAAAGTCTGTGCACCTGGAAACTATCTTTCCTTAACTCACAGAACCCAAACCAGCTGCTCCCCACCCTCTGAGCAGCCAGACAGCCTGGTCATCCTCATCCTTGTTGCTGTCATCCCTGCTGCAGGCACCTTCAGGCCCCCTCCTCAATGCCTGCTGACACTGACTCCTGGGTGATTTTTGACTTTGTGTGCTTAACAAGCACACACATTGGTGTTACCTGGTTCGAAAATGATGGAGGGGATGGGGGTGAGGAAGGGGCTGAAAACCAATCGAAACTGGTGAGACTAAAGGCAAACAAGTCCCCAGACCCAGCCAGGCCAGTGCAATGACTGGGATGCATAAGGGCGACCTTGAGCCATCCCAGACAAGGAAGGGCCCCTGCATCGCATCCCCAGGATGCGCCTCTGCAGGGACCACTCCTGCGCCCGGGCAAGCAGGGTGAAGCAGCTCTGGGCCAATCCTGCAGGAGCCCCTGTGGCCTGTCTGGCTCATACCCAGCCCAAGTCAGACCACAGGGCTTCTGCCTGGATCCCAGTGCCACCGGCATGTGGGGCCCACTGGGCTCCCACCCTCTCCCTAGCCCGACCAAGCTCAAAGGCCCTGAAGAGCACCCCCAACCCCGGGGTCACATGCTGCTGCCCCCTTCAGGTGTTCTGCTTGGACACCGCTGAATTTATTTTAAATGGATATAATTCACACACCATACAACTCACCCTTTGCAAGTATACAATTCAGTGGTTCTTGGTACATTCACAAGGTTATATATCCATCACCTCTCTCCAATTCCAGAACATTTCCATCACCCCAAAAGGAAACCCTGTACCTAGTAAGCAGTCACTGCTCGTTCCCCTGAGACCCTGGCAACCACTAATCTACTTGCTGTGTCTAGGGATTTGCCAACTCTGGACATTACATATGAACTAAATCATGCAGTATGTGGGGCTTTGTGTTTAGGTTCTTTCACTTAGCATAAGGTTTGCACTGTAGATTTTTAAAATGCGGCTTGGAGGAAGTTATTAACGGAGCTCAGTCGGAGCCAGGAGTTGTGCTAAGTGTTTTATTCATTTGTACCCATTTAATCCTAGTAACCACCCCCCACGGCGGATGGTGGTATTATCCCCATTTTACAGTTGAGGAAACCGAGGCACGCAGCAGTTTAGTGACTTGTCCTGTGTGGTGGTAGTGCTAGATACCTCTTTTTCTTTTTTAATGGAGGCACTGGGGATTGAACCCAGGACCTCGTGCATGCTAAACACATGCTCTACCGCTGAGCTATACCCACCCCACTGGGCCACCTCTCTTTAAGGGAGCTGACACTTGGAGGTTTGCCA